GTGACCAAAGGAACTGCAGCGGCAGCTGCAAACTCATCGGCGAAGGAGGTGGAGCGGACCTTTGAGGCGACGCACGCTAAATGCAGAGCGACTTCGGCTGCATGCGGAGGAAAAGCTGCGGCGTGCAGTAGAAGACCGCGATTGGAGCGAGAGCTGCTGTCAACGGCTGCTGGTGCTCGCCTTCTTCCTAGGCTGTGCTGGCGCCGTTGTGGGGTGGCTCGTGGGGCTTCTCGTGTTGGTGGCGGTGGGTGAGCCGTTTGTGGGCTTCCTGTTAGTTCTGCCCGGCATGGCTCTGGGCACGTTGACGGGGCTGGCTGTCGCCAAAACCAAGATCCAACTCGAAACAAGACGTCGTGACGCCAGGAACAGAGAAGCCAGACGTCACACAGAGGTGGAGATGGCCGTCAGCAGCGGAATAGGAGAACAGGAAGCACCCCTGGAGCCACTAGAAGGTGTCCTTGGCGTGGAGGACATCGCGGAGACGAATTATCGACGGAGGGAACTGGATAGGGCGAAGGACGAAATAAAGGTCAAGCAGGGGGCATCGGGGTCCAGATCACTGTTGGGTATGGGCTGGAACGCGACATGGTTCACGTTGCAGACATCCAAGGGCATTGCAGTGGGCTTGTATGAAGGAGGAGACTACGTGCGAAGTATCTTGTATCCGCCCAAAGACAAGCAGAAGAAGAAAAAGTAGCGTGTGAAAAAAAAAACGTGGTGTGTGTGGTGTGTGTGCAAATATGAAAGGATGTACAGAGGGTCTTATATCTGCCCACAATAGCGGGATGGGATGCCTGCAATTTCGAGAATCCGCAGGACTTCCAACCCGATGTTATAGACAGGTGGCTCGTGTCGGCGGTATGTGCTGCTGCTGTCAATGAGCGGGATTTGGTATCCCAAGACCGTGCCACACAACGTCCCAGTGGGACGAGAAGGGGTGTCAACCTTACAGGTCATCCCAATATCCCGATCGCTGATTGGTCCATCCCTCTTTTGGGACGAAATAAGACTGAGCCTTAATTAGGGTCCCTAAATGTTGTGCTTTGCAGACATCCGTTTTATAGCCTATATAGATCGAGCATGGTCAAAATGAGATGCGCTTTTATCTGTGATCGAATTTCGAAATGCAAGCGGTACACGCTCCAGAGGCGGATCCGCGCGTGTGACGGGGTCACACAGCACCTTGCACAGAGGAAGTGCTTAAGGGTATAAACTACCCGAGTGAACGTAAGTCCACGTGTTCCCGGCTTCAGTGGGAACGGTTTGTGTGACGGGGTCACACAGCACCTTGCGCTAGAGGAAGTTATCTTCCGAGAGTATACAAACTCTCAGTGAACGGCAGCTCACAGGTCCCCTCTTTAATTAAAGAGAGCGAAGTGACCTAAATAAGGTAGATTGTAAACTGAGTATATTTATAGGTAGGTTAAGTTTGAGGTTAATACAAACTATCAGTTACCTATAGAAATGCAATGTCATTTAACCAATGGTTGGTTTTGAATGACCTTGGTACCTTGTACCAAATATCCCGGAGTATGACATGTCATACTCCTGAAGTGTGAAGTGTCACACTTCATGTAACCAGGGTACACTTAGTGCTACGTACCCCGTTACATCCTCCCCCACTTAGGTTCGGTTTACCGACCAATCAGAATGAAGAGATGTTCGTCACAAACTCTCATTCTCAAAGTCGAAAACCATCGACTCGGCCGCGCGAGCGCGGCGGAGGCTCACTTTACAGTTAGAGCCTCGAGCAGCAACCTGTGCGCTCTTAACATGCCTCGTGGCACTGCTAAGAGCGGTGCTAAGACACGCTCCAAGGCTGCAGCCGGTAAGGCGCAGGCCAAGAGCACTAAGCCTCACGGCAAAGGCTCTGCACTTAAGGAGGCTACTCAGGTGGCCTCCGAGGCGATCGGATCCTCGGGTGACGCGGCTGCGGACAAGCGCGCAAGCAGGCGCCGCAGTCCGTCGCCCTCGTCTTCAGACAATCGTCCGAACCCTCGGTTCGTAGAACGTGAGTTCAACTCGGGCAGTGAGGACGATGCCGAGTCCGAGAGCACTCATGATGCTCCTGCGGGCTCTGTGGGAGGGCACAGCCCAGTGCCCAGTGAGCACAAAGAAGACAGCGTGCAGTCGTCCGCTAGTGATCACGGTGATCACAGTCCCAGGACCTCTGTGCGCTCTGAGAGTCCGGCCGGCAAGGCTAAGGGCACTCCCAAAGCTGGTGGCGATGAGGAAGGGAGTCCTCGCAAACGTCTCTCGCTTGCCGAGGGTCTTGCGCGCGCTAAGGCCTCTAAAGCCGAAGGCGCCAAGCCCTCAAAGAAGCGTACCGCCTCTAAGTCTCCACTCCGCGAGGAGAAGGAGACTCGACGCTCCTATCAGAGTCTCTTCGGCTCCTCGGATGAAGAGGAGGAGAAGGAGGAAGAAGAGGAAGAGGAGGGTGCCATTGTTGAGCCCCGGGAGGTCTCGAATGACCTCGACCAGCAGCAGGAGGATTTCCAAGCTGCCCAGCGTGTGCGTGGGGGTTCGGTGGCGGCACCCGTCAGCCAGGGAGCTGCCATCAACTCAAGAGGGTATTGGCCTCCCGAGGAGAGCTCTGGGGCTGACCTTGTAACGGGGTTACATGGTGTGGAACACACAGGGGTACGAAGTACCCGGCGAGTTAACAAACTCTCAGTACATAAGTTGGAGAGTTAACAAGGTCTCTCAGTACGTTGGCTGAAAGCCACACGTTATGCATTTGATTAGGTTTAACTATGCTAGATAGTTAAAGAGATACATTTACCCCTAGGCGGCTTGGCCGCAATAATAGTAAATAAATCACTTCTGGTTTTGAAGCATAAAAGTTAAGGTGTTAACTTTTGAGCCCTGGTCTTGGGCTGTAAGTGTCCTTTGGATAAGGAACTTTGTATTAGTGACTCTTTGAGTCGAACGTCTTCCTCTGACGCTAAAGCTACGGCAGCCCCGCTGCAGACCTCTTCTTAGAGCTTCTTGTCGCTCCTCGTGGCCTTGTGGGCGGCCACACTTCTAGGGGCATCTATGAACGAGCCCTTGTTCAGAAAGAACAGTTGTTCGTCGACAACGTGGAGGCTGCTCGGTGTGTGCTTCTCGCGCCACACCGCATTCCCCTTAAGGACTTCACGACTTGTCGTAAGAAGCCCGAGACCCGGGGTGGTCTCTATCCTGTTTGGGGATACCCCTGGGTTATGCCCGAGAGCTGTCCCACATGGAGTTCTTGTGAGGACATGTTCTGGGCGTGGGTGGAGACTCTCAAGTACTCGCCCACGGAGTTATGGGAACTCCATGAAGATCAGCAGCTGTCCCACATCCTGGACCAGCGTGATCTTCGTGTGAGGTTTGCCCACTTGATCAGCAAGCGTATGCTGCCAAGGGACATCCTGAAGCGCGCGGCTTCTAGCGCTCACGATGAGCGCGGGTACGGTATGTATTCATTATCCGTACCCCGTTCGGGCAAGAAGCCCCGGACTACTTATGAAGCTGCCGCCGCTTCTGTTCCCAGATTGCGACAGCCTTCGGGCAGTCAATCAGGAGCCGTTCAATCGGCTCCCACGAGTTCTCGGAGTGGGCATAACCCCTCCACTTCACGAGGAGCTGTCGCTTCCCGCGACACCGTTGCTCCTGGAGGATCCGCTCCACGTGGAAGTGGACTTCTCCATTCCGGTCAAGCAGGGGCGGAGGTGCCCTCGTACGAGTACGAGTACTCGGCGCCTCCCGAGAGCCACTCTCGTTCGAGTGCTCCGACTGCGGGTCCGACACGGGACCCTGAGGTTGACCGCCTCCGTCAACGTCTCCTCGTGCTTGAGATTGCACTTGGCCTTGGGACTGGCGGTAATGCTGCCGCCCAGGCCGGGAATCAGGGCGAACTCGCTCGTCTTGCGGGTCGCCTGGACCTGGTGGAGCGAGAGGTCGCGAGCCTGCACCTGCGGGTGGAACCGCCGGGCCTCTTCGTCCGATCTGGACGAGGACTTCGCATGATCCGACGGATCGAGGCTTTGTTGCCACGTCCGGAGCCGCCTGCGGCACACTCCCAGACGTACGCGTATGGTGCGTACCCGGCGTACTCAGCGTACTCGGCGTATGGCGCCGGGGTCCGTTCGTATGGAGCCCCTCCGACGTACGGCCTTGACCGCAGCCTTGCCGTCCCGACCGAGGCTTGGGTGCCTGCTCCGACGCCCTCGTCGACGACTGTGACCGGCCCTCGCTTCGAGGAGCTGGGTCAAGGAGGGACTGCGAGTCAGCAACCCCCTGCGGGTCAAAGTACCGCTTAAGACGTCCGATATAGAACGTCGGGTGCGTCGTCATTGACTTTGGAAGGTCGATGGTGTACGACGCACCATGTCTGGCCAGGACTGCAAAAGGTCCGATTAAGCGGTGCTTCAGTTTGTCGCTGCCGACAGAGCTAACAGTGTCTAGAGGTAGGTTCCTCGTGTCTAGCAACACTAAGTCCCCAACCTCAAATACACTTAAGTTTCCTCTTCCTTGTTTGTCTGAGTACTCCTTTTGTTTATCTTGGGCCGCTGCCATGGCATCGCGGACCCTGCTGACAATGTTCAGCTTGGTATCCATAAAGGATTCCACCTGTTTCCGCAGCGAAACTGGTCTTACATCCGAGACCTGGGAGGAAAGGGCTTTCCGAGCCTCTCACCCACCTAGAATAGAGGAGTCAGTGTCTCCTCGAAGAGTGAGAGGCACTCTGGGGTGGCGGAAGCCGTTCAAGTAGAACGGCGTGACCCCGTGGACGCGTGCACCGCGTTATTGAGCGTAAACTCAACAACTGGAAGCTGCGTCGACCACGTACGTGGTGCTGCCGCGCACACACTGCGCAGAGTGTCCTCGAGCACTCGATTGACGCGCTCTGTTTGGCCGTCTGTCTGTGGATGGTCCGCAGTGGACATCGGCAGACGAGTTCCCAGTAAAGGGAACAGCGTTTTCCAAAACGCAGCAGTGAACCGTGGGTCTCGGTCCGAGACAATCGTCTCTGGGAGACCGTGATAGCGGAACACGCCATCGACGAACAACCTTGCGGTTTGCTCGCCCGTAACAGTGACGGGAACTGGAACAAGATGTACCATCTTGCTCAGCCGACACACGAACACCAAAATTCCGGTGCTGCCGTGTCCGTCGGCGGGAAGCCCAAAGATGAAGTCAAGACTCATCGACTTCCAACAATCAGCCGGTACGGGCAGGCTCTGTAGTGGAGCCGAAGAGTGCCCTGCGGGTTTAACCCGCTGACATGTTTCACATGTCTTGACGTACCGGGCGACCCACTTGTACATGTGGGTCCACCAGAAGGACTGAGAGACCGACAGAAAGGTCTTCTCGCGGCCCAAGTGGCCGCTGGAGGGCGCGTCATGCGCCTCCGCGAGGATGTCGAGCTTCAGATCCTCGTCGTTGGGTACGACCACCCGTGGAGGATCAGTGGGCTCCACCCGATAATAGAGGAGGCCCTCCTTCAACTCATATCGGTGGAGCCGTGAGCGCTGTCGCGACGAGAGCCAGTCGGACTTCGCGCTCGTTCCGGCCTTAAGGAACTTGACGATAGGCGCGACAGCCTCATCGTCCCGATACGCCATGCGTATCCGATCATATAGATCCGTTGTCACCCGCGTGATGTGGGCCAACTCATAGTCGGGACGCCTAGAGAGGGCGTCCGCAAGCACGTTGAGCTTGCCCGGCTTGTACTCGACGCGGAGGTTATATTCCGCGAAGAAGGACAGCCACCTCGCCATCCGTTGGGAGAGGTGA